GCCTGCACCCTCAGATCTCCTGGGGACACCCCTGTCCTGCTCCCCAGATCCCTGCCTGCAACCCAGATCTTCAGGGCCCCCAGCTCCCTGCCCATACCCCCCAGATCTCCCAGGGATACCCCTGCCTGGCCCCCCAGATCTCCCAGGGCCCCCAGTTCTGCCTCTGGACTCCTGGGACTAGCGGGAACACCTGTTCTTTCTGAGCCTCCTCTCCACACCGTGCGTACTGAGCAAATCTCTCCAACCCCAGGGCTGATCCTAGCCCTTGTAACTTTCCTGCTGGGGGTCGTCCTTTGGGGTTACTGCCTCTGTATTTCCAGCGTTACCAATATATCATAGTGATCCTTTTCCCTCTCTAGGGTCTCCCAGCCAAAGATCTCAGAGTGCTTTACAGATATGAATGAATTAGCCCCTGGGATCAATATCATTATCCTTTTTACGTATTGGGAAACTGAGGCCCGGAGACGGGTAGTCAGAGGCACAACCAGAGAGAGAACCTGGGAGTCCTGATGCCCTGGCCTCTTCTTTAGCTACATGCCCTTTCTTCCCCACCCTCTCCTGAACGTTTGCATCAACAGCAGCAGCGTGCCCAGCACTTGAGATCAGGCAGCACTGCAGGGGCCCTGGTGTGCGGTCAGCAGCAGCTGTTCCTCTGAAATATGGTGTGTTCTCTGCCTGTTCTGGGGCTGGGACTCCCTCAGGCCTCTGCCGGAATCGGAATCGGAGCCCTGGAGCTCCCAGACATTGGTCTCTAGTCACCCTGGAAATGAACTTTCCACAGCTGGCTCCACCCACCGCTTAAGGGCAGCATCTGTTTGTTGTCCCTGATGCCATAGTAACTGGATAAAAGAGAGAGGGAGAGCACGCAGGATCTCCTTGGGGCAAACCTTATGAGGGCTCTGCCTCAGGAAATCCCAGCAGGTAGAGGCTCATTGGCCTTGCTGATCTTGTCTCCGTGTGCAGTTCATCCCCTTAGACCTTCCTGATAGTCGGTGTGATCCTTGGATGTGAGCGTCAGGTGCGGAGCGGGTGCAGTAGCCCAGTAGAGACGAGCCACGCTAGTCCACCCTGCTGCTGAGTTCTAGTGCTGTATCCCAGCGTGGCATCTCACTGCACAAGTGCCTTTACCTCTGTGTGCCGGCACAGGTCTCCCTGGGGTGGGGGTGGGGGGGTCTCTAATGCACCACTGGGAATGGTAGGAGCAGTCCAGAGAGCCTCGAACAGGGACAAAAAAAGCAGAGAAAAAGTAGGATCCTTCCTTGATGTGCTCCAATCCAACAGGCAATCTCTCCTGCAACGGAGCGACTGCTTCTGCAGACCCAGTGACTCAGGAACAGCGGCAACTTCCCAACCGATTCCTTTTTAGGACCTGAGACCCGGCAGAGAAAGCTTCATCCCCAAAGGAGAATTCCTGAGCTAGAGCAGAGCGCAGGTGTGGGACAAGGATGATTGTGTCACCTTAGTGAGAGCCCAGGTCTGCCCACCAATTCTGCACTAGCCCCTGGGGTCAGGACCTGGGGGACAGGACTCCTGAAGTATGGGTGCTGCTGCCCCTGCTGCAGTGTGTTGGGTCCTCTGGCTAAAGCTGATTCTCTCGGTGAGCTGTGTGCGTGCTGCCCTCCCCCGGCCGAAGTGTGATGGGGCCATTCCCATAGCAGTTCTCTCTTCCGATTGATGAAAAATAACGATCCTGGTGCAGGGAACCATTCATCCGAGCATCTCAAACAGCCATCCAAAGACAATGTCCCCATTGTACAGAGGCACCCTGAGGTAAAGCAATCTGCCCAAGGTCATGCAGAGAGGCTGGAAAAGCTGGGAAGAGATCCCAGGTTGCCTGACCTCCAGTCCCCTGCTCTAACCAGTAGACCAGTATTAGCTGTAGGTGTGCTGCTGCCCCCTACTGGAGTGTGACAGGCCAACCTGTGTATTGCAGAGGGATGGGCGGGCAAAGGGCTGTTTCTGCTCCCCAGCCCTCTCCCTAACCGGGGCTCTCTGTCTCCTTACCAGCTGTGGGAAAACACCGGGAATCCAGCATGTCTGCTGACGTCTGGGTGGGAACATGGAGACCCCACCGGCCCAGAGGGCCCATCGCTGCTCTCTACAGCAGTCCCGGGCCCAAGTACGGGCTCCCCACAAACGTAGGTGAGAGAGAGCGTCAGCGAGGAGCCCCCACAGGCTCCGTGAGGAGAGGTGGGCCGGGGCTCCCCACCAGCATCATGGAGAGAGGGACACAAGGGCCAGTTGGCAGCTCCATGCACATGCCCAATGCTCTGCTTTGGGGGCGCTCTCCACCCGCAGCCGAATGGGGCTGCTCACCCACCCCGAGCTCGCCCCAAGGGCACCCCTCACCTTGCCCCCTTGCACCAAGGGATCTCTTATTTCTCCCCCACTCACTGCTTTTCCTACACAATAAGACCTGTGCTGCTCACCCACCCTGAGCTCTCCCCTCCCCTTGCCCTTCTCAGGTCTGGGCTGGGGTCCATGCCTGCCCCAGTGGCCTGTGTGGAGACAGCTCTGCCATGCCCCACGCTCCCTTCAGGGCTGGGCTTGGGAGCTCTCACTATCTGGCCCATGCCCTCTGTGCCCTGGCTCTATCTCTCCTTTCTGTTGCAGGTTACCCCCTTCACGACCCCTCCCGCTACCGAGCCCCTGCGTACAGCTTCGGCATCCGCCGCCTCCATCTGCAGGATGAGTGCTCCCCGGGGCCCAAGTACATGGTGCCAGCCAAGATGACCATGAAGGGCAAAGATGGTAACCCTGCCTACTCCATCTATGGCCGTCCCAGGGATCTGATGCCCTTCCTGACCCCCGGGCCAGGTCAGTCTGTCCCCTTCTCACATGCTGTATATAGCCAAGCTATGTGGGTGTGGCTCGATTTGTGTGTGTGTGTGTGTGTGTGTGTGTGTGATTTGATGTCTGTGATGGAAAATATCAGCACAGGGTTGTTGCTTCCAGTCCATGCTCCAGGGCTCTGTACAATCCAGGTGTGTTTGTCCCGAGTGATAGAGCTCCCCAGGGCCGCCCAGAGGATTCTGGGGGCCTGAGGTCTTCGGCGGCGGGGGTCCTTCTGCTCCGGGTCTTCGGGGCACTTCGGCGGCGGGTCCCGGAGTGAGTGAAGGACCCGCCGCTGAACTGCCGCCGAAGACCCAGAGCGGAAGGAACCCTCGCCACCGAACTGCCGCCGAAGACCCGGAGCGAGTGAAGGACCCGCTGCCGAACTGCCGCCGAAGACCCAGAGCGGAAGAAGCCCTCGCTGGCGAATTGCCGCTGAAGACCCAGAGCAGAAGACGCTCCGGGTCTTCGCTCCGGGTGTGTTCGGTGGCACTGAAGGACCTGCCGCCGAAGACCCGCCAAAAACTCTTGTAGGGGGCCCTGAAAACTGTCATGGAGGCCCCTGCGGGGCCCAGGGCCTGGGGCATATTGCCCCACTCCCCCCCCCCGGGTGGCCCTGGAGCTCCCTGTAAAGCCGATTTTTTTTAAAAAAGGCTCCATAGGCAATCCTGGCAACTACAGGCTGGTAAACCTGACTTCAAGTGCAGCCAGATTGGTTGAAACTGTGGTAAAGAACAGAATGATCAGACATAGAGATGAACATGATTTGATGGGGAAGAGCCAACACAGCTTTGGTAAAGGGAAATCATGCCTCTCCGATCTTTTAGAGTTATCTGAGGGGGCCTACAAACATATGGATAGGGGTAATCCAGTGGCTATAGTGTACTTGCACTTTCAGAAAGCCTTTGAAAAGGTCCCACACCAAAGGCTCTTAAGCAAAGTAAGACAGATAAAAGGGGAGGTTCTCTCATGGATCAGTAACTGGTTAAAAGATAGGAAACAAAGGGTAGGGATAAATGGTCAGTTTTCATGGTGGAGAGAGGTAAGTAGTGAGGTCTCCCAAGGATCTGTACTGGGATCTGTGCTGTTCAGCATATTCATAGATGATTTGGAAAAGGGGTAAACAGTGTGGTGGGAAAGTTTGCAGATGATACAAAATTACTCAAGATAGTTAAGTCCAAAGCTGATGACAGAGTTACAAAAGGATCTCACAAAACTGTGCAACAAAATGGCAAATGAAATTCCATGTTGATAAATGCAAAGTAATGCACATTGGAAAACATGATTCCAACTATACTTGCAAAATGATGAGGTCTAAATTAGCTGTTACCACTCAAGAGAGAGATCTTGGAGTCATTGTGGATAGTTCTCTGAAAACATCTGTTCAATATGCAGTGGCAGTCAGAAAAGCTAACAATATAAGGAACCATTAGGAAAGGGACAGAAAAGACAGAAAATATCATAGTGCCACTATATAAATCCATAGTACACTCACACCTTGAATACTGTGTGCAGTTTTGGTCATAGCGTCTAAAAAGAAAAAGATTAGGGCTGTCAAGCGATTAAAAAATTAATCGCAGTTAATCGCGTGATTAAAAAATTAATCATCATTAATCGTGCAATTAAAAAATTAATCGCGATTAATCATGTGATTAATCGCACTGTTAAACAATAATATAATACCACTGATTTAAATATTTTTGGATGTTTTCTACATTTTCAAATATATTGATTTCAATTACACACAGAATACAAAGTGTACAGTGCTCACTTTATATTTATTTTTGATTACAAATATTTGTACTCTAAAAAACAAAAGAAATAGTATTTTTCAATTTACCTCATACAAGTACTGTAGTGCAATCTCTTTATCATGAAAGTTGAATTTACAAATGTAGAATTATGTACAAAAAATAACAGCATTCAAAAATAAAACAATGTAAAACTTTAGAGCTTACAAGTCCACTCGGTCCTACTTCAGCCAATCACTCAGACAAACAAGTTTGCCCGCTTCTTATTTACAATGTCACCTGAAAGTGAGAACAGGTATTCTCATGGCACTGTTGTAGCCGGCGTCGCAAGATATTATGTGCCAGATGCGCTAAAGATTCATATGTTTCTTCAGGCTTCAACCGCCATTCTAGAGGACGTGCTTCCATGCTGATGACGGGTTCTGCTTGATAATGATCCAAAGCAGAGCAGACCGATGCATGTTCATTTTCATTATCAACCTGTGGAACTCGTTGCCAGGGGATGTTGTGAAGGCCAAAAGTATAACTGGGTTCAAAAAAGAACTAGATAAGTTCCTGGAGGATAGGGCCATCAGTGGCTTTTAGCCAAGATGGTCAGGGATGTAACTCCACGTTCTGGGTGTCCCTAAGCCTCTGACTGCCAGAAGCTGGGACTGGATGATGCGGGATGGATCACTTGATAAATTGCCCAGTTCAGTTCATTTCCTCTGAAGAGTTTGGCACCAGCCGCTGTCAGAAGACAGGACACTGGGCTTGATGGACCATTGGACTGATCCTATGGCCATTATGTTCTTATGTTACCCTCGAGATATGATTCCCCAGCCCCATAGATATCACTGCCAAGGACTGATCCTGAGAGTCAGCCTAAATTCCCTTCTTGTTCATTCTATCCCATTCCTCCTAATTCCCCTCCCCCTTTGTGTATCCTCCTTGCTAATCCCTCTCTTTCCTGGGCTTCACACCCTTCTGATATTTGCAGACTTGCATGTACTGCGCAGGGAGCCCGGCAGGAGCACTAGATGGGGGGGAGCTCTTAGTTACTCTAGTCCCACCCTCTCCCAGAAGGAGGTGCTGTAGGGAGCAGCACAAGAGAACTAGCTGTGTGGCAGCTCCCAGCTGCTCCAGCCCTGGCCTTTCCCAGCAGGGGGCACTGTGGGGAGCAGGGCAGGAGTGCTGGCTGTGGGGGGAGCTCCCAGCTACTCCGGCCTCAGCCTGTGCCAGCAGGGGGTGCTGTAGGGCATAGGACTGGAGCGCTGGCTATCTGTGAGCTCCCAGCTGCTTCAGTCCACGGTGTGCCAATCAGTGGGGTATGGAGCGTGCCCCTCCTGTCTATGCTCCAATATTATCCTCCCTCTTTGTTTCAGGTCGATATTCTCCAGAGAAGGCAGGGAAATGGGCCTATCGCTCCGCGCCCATCTACTCGCTCGCCTCGCGTACGAAGGAGTTTGCGAATGACCAGACTCCAGGTAGGAGAGCCCATGGGGCTGAGCTCTCACCAAGCTCCTGCTCCCCCCGCCCCCACTGCACCACTGGCCAAACCCCTCAAGGTTCCCAGGCACAAATCAGTGCCCGATGGCTCAGACGTTTGTCTGGATTTGTCCCCATTCTCCCCTTCCCGTTCCCGGAAGCCCTGGCTCCAGCACGTGCCCATCTCCACGCCCAGAGACCCTAGAGCCAGTTCACTGCTTTTCCAGCCTCTTAGCCAAAGCAGGTGCTACTGGGCAGGGTGGCAAGAGACTGTGAGGGGGGGATCAACCCACCGGTTTGGGATGCGAGTGGACCCCGGATCCTGGCAACTGCTACTGAATGCTGAACAGAGGCCAGAGCCGCTGAAGGAGACGATTCTGCCAAGCCTATTGCAGGAGGGGCACCGGATCTGTTTGTGATCACCCCTCACCCCCCGATTGCTCAGCTTCTCCCTAGCACACTTCTGCACTGCGATACCCTCCGGGAGAGGGGCCTGGTTCACCGCTGTGAACGGTACAGCGGAGGGATAATGATGGTTCCCCACCCACGGCCCTGCGCTCCCCCAGTTGCTCATGGGGGGCAGTGCAATCATAAAATAACCATCTAATAGCAGCTTCCCCCACCTGGAACGTCCTGCCTGGGGACAGTGCGGGAGGGGGCAGCTTCCAGACCTAAAGGGAAGAGAGGTGAGAACCAATGCATCTTTCAGTGGGGAGACCTGGACTTGAGGGGCAGCAACTCAACTCCCTAGTGCCCTCGCCAGGGCCAGCTGGAGCGCAATGAACGACACATATGTGGGGGGGTGTCCTCGACAGCTACAGGGACTGAGATCCCACTCGCAGCCCTGGTGGTGAGGGGATGGGACCCAGCAGCACCTCAGAGAGGAGTATTTACCTTCCTGGGCCCTGTGCGCTCGGCTGGGCGCACCAGAATCCAAGCCCTTGGCGACGGAGCGCCAGGCCGGGATTTAGGGTGGGGGTCAGGGTCTGGCGTCAGTTGGGAGTTTCCCCGCTGACGTCACTGGAAAGGGGGGAGTCACCCTGCTCTCAGAGCCGTGCACAGGCCCAGCTCTCTGCTGGGGACTCCCTTGCTCTGGACGCCCTTCCCCTGATGCCAGCGCAAAGCTCGCCCTGCTAGGAGAGCGGAGATGGGCTGGCTGCGGAGGCTTGTGAGGGGGTGTTTCAGATGACTAAGGCCCAGGTGGATGGGGCTCTCGGAGCAGGGGGTCATGCCGATTCGTGGGTAGAGATTGTTCCTGCCCCTCCAGGAGCAACAGGCAGGCCTGCTGGGTCCTTAGTCCCATAGGCTTTGGTGCTGCAGCTGATCGAGTCCAGGGTCCCCATCTTGGGGGGTCCCCGGCAACCGGGGGAAACGAACCTAAGTGGCGCTGCCACCCCTTGCACCGAGTCACAGCCATTGGCTCATATGTGGCTCGCCTGCCCCTCTGTCATGGCAGAGCAGCTGCTGTGCCAAGCCTGAGTGCCGGGGGGTGGGCGACAGCAATGGGAGAGAGCAGGGCTGGCCTCGCCCAGGATGGGAGTGAAGTGCTGCCACAGCCTCACAGCTACCATTGCCCCGCCCCC